TTGGCCACGGCACTGAAGTGCCTGACACTTGCCAGGCAGCCAGCGAATGGGACTGTTACCATGATCTAGAACCATAGTGCTTGCTTTCTCTTTGGCTTACATGCAGGCAACTTTAATGTGTACTTAGAGTTAAAGAGACATAAGATAATTTCTCTACTGTTTGACTCACTGAAATCAATCTCATTCTGCTTTCTACTCTCATTTTGATGCAGAGAGACATCATTACAGTCTTTACATTTTCTTGAGCCTGTTGTCAATGAAGCGTCCATAGGGATGGGTCATGTAAGAGCTGTCCCACCACGTAGCATGGAGGGATGTGTCCGGAAGTGGAAATCAAGTGCAGGGACATTGTTGTAAGACCTCGAAGAAACCTAAGTCTTCTAGGTTTCGGACTGGGCGTTTATAATACGCTGAGCTTGGATGATGTGGTTTCAAGGTTGCTTCTAGCCTAAATGCTTTGTTTCTGTTTGCTCACTTGGCAAGCTTGGGGCTTGTCTCAGCGATTTGATTTTTAAAGCTTTCCTTGAATTCACAGCTCACAGAATGATGAGCTGGAAGAGACCTGGAGACCAACCCAGGGTAACGTTTTGGTTTACAGGTGAGGAAACTGGGACTCAGAGAATAAGGCTTGCCCACCCCACTGATATCACATAGTTTTTGGCTGAACTGAAACCAGAACCCAGGTGTCCTGACTCCTAGGTCCATGCCCCTTCCTTTATCCCACAGTGCCTCTTGCCCACAAACTAGGGCATCACATTTAAGAATCTAGTATGAAAACATAGCACAGCTAAGCTCTGACTCTGACAACCTTGATCATTTACTGAAGAGCTACAGAATTAAATAAGTCACACTGGCCTGACTGTTGAAAGAACTATTTGAAAGGTTTTGACACTTCCATTTATCAATCTTCTAGTCATCTAGAAGGATCCATTATTATTAGAATTTAGGAGGAGCAAGAGGGTTTTGGCTGGCATGCTCTCTATCCCTTCTCAGGGACATGACTAGTTCATCTCTGGGCTTTGCATTGTAGAAGCCTTGAGAAACCCTGGGTTTCCACCCACCAAGTTGCTAGGTTCATATATTGTAACCTCAGACTCTTAGCAGTTAATGTTCAGTTTCCCTGGCTTCAGACCACCCTGTGGTCAAACAGTTTCATTCCTGGTGGAACAAGGAAATGATGTCACATTGACTAACCAAAATCAACATGGGAATCTTCTAATCACGCGCGTGATCACGAGGTATACGGAGTGCATGTGAGTAACCGAGAAATAACAAATCAAGTCAAACTGCTTTGTTAGATGGCGAACACGTTGCAAGTTGACGCAGTGAGGAAGTGGTGTCCCGGTAACCAGTCACTGTGCTGGGTGTCTGCCCTGTGGCGCTGGCTGAGACTAAAGCTGGGGGCTCTCCTTACTCACCCTGTTCAGGCTGAGCCTTCCATGGAAGCCGCTCATTGTGACACTGGAGCAGAGAGAGGAACCTTTCATTTCACTGGAAGCCACTGTTAGTGAAAAATCACATGCAGCATTTATTCTAAGAATTCTGTTGGATTTGAGTTCATTTCGGTGAAAAGAATGTACTTTCTGCACTAATTTGAAGAAACATCAGTTGTGAAACGTATTTTTAAAAGACTGTCTTTACTCATATAAAAAGGACAAAAAAAAGATCAGTTTAGGTTGGTTATTTTTTTGTCATTTTAGTGAGATGTGAAACATTCAAGCTTCTAATAGTTAAGAAAAGAAACCAGAAAATATCCAATACTGGAAAAATATCTTAATGACACATTATATTTTAGTTTCAGATTGTGATCAGTTGATAGAGGAAGAGAAGGATGAAACAAAAAAGCACAAAACGAGGAGAGAAAAGACTGAGAACAAAGCAAAAAAAAAAAAAAAACCCAAAACAGAGAAAGATACGAGCAGTGAAAGAAAGATGAGGAAAACCAAAAGACGATTAGAAGAAAGAATGATTTTAAGGGACTAGGAGAAAGGAGCCTGATGGCTTTCCTGGGCTGCCCTGAAGCCCAGCTTTCGCTATGTCCGTCATCCTTTGACTGAAGTCTCACTCTGCACCTAGATTATCAATTCCACCAGCACAAGAACTGCGCTGGCTTTGGCTCCCTATTGTTTTCCCAGTGCCTAGCACAGACGTAGTCAACACAGTGAGAACTAATAAATGAATGGATGAACAAAGGAACAAGTGAAGAAAGAATGTGTAGGAAAAGAATCCCATGGCCCAAACGGCTGGGGCAGTGTTCCCCTGAGAACCACCATTGTTTCCTCAAAAGCAGGAGACTGGTGAAAATACATTTTTTTTCAAGCCCTTCCTCTAGCACTCCCTGGTCACTCCCATACCTTCATCTCAGATTTTGGCCCTGGGCCGCCCACAGCCTCCTTGTCCACCCCAGCTACTCATCTCCTTCAGATGACTTCAGGGACTTGGTGCACGTTTCATCCAAAAGATTCACCTCTGCAAATTGTGACTTTAAAAATCTGTAGTAAAATACACATAACGTAAAATTTACCATTTTACCTATTGTAAGTGGAGAGTTTTGTGGCATTAAGTACATTCCCCGTGTTAAGCAACCATCACCACCATCCATCTCCAGAGATTTTTCATCTTCCCCCACTAAAACTCTGTACCGATTAAATACTCACTCCCCAGATTCGCTGATATTTTATCAGAATTCAGACATTCTCACTCGAGAATTCCCATTTCTTGAAGTTGTTTTGCCTTCAGACAGATTCTGCTGTCTGTCCACAGTCTCCTTTCTTGCCAGGAGACCTGGATGCTGGCAGGTCTGGGTTGGGATCCCAGCTAAACTATTTGCCAGCCTCAGTTTCTTTATTTGTAAAATTCAGATAACAGATAATATTGTAGATAATACAGCTACTGCATAGGTAAGAGAACTCGAGTTCATTGGATCATCGGAAGGATCAGGTGCTTACTGAGCGTTTAGCACAAGTCTGTCCTGCATTCTCCCTCCCAGTCCTCGTCCTGGTGTTCCTCACTCCGGCCACTGCTCCGCTGACATTCCCAGCTTCCCCACCCCTTGGTCTTCCCAATGCCCATTCCAGGGGCCACACCATCCTGTATCTCTGCTTCAACTGCACATCCACCTGGGCTGTTGGTGAACAGTGGTATTTGCTGGAGTCATTACAAGGCACGGTTTCCCACTCCTGCCCTGCAAGCACTTAACAGGCCCCTGTTTGGCTTCCTCTTCCCATTCCTCACAACAGCCATCTCATATCTCCATCACTCCATCACCCTCCCCTGCCACTACCCTAGCGTTATCATCTGTCACCTAGGTGTCTGTAGACGAGAGTTCTTTCAGGTCCCCTAAGAGGTTCTGATTTTGTAAGAGGTGGTGGAGTTGAAATCTGCTGTTTTATCAAGCAACCCCAGGGGATTTTGATGTGCAAAGAGCCAAGTCTGCTTTCCGTGGAGGGCTGCTGTAAGCCACAGCCTCCCTGAGAGCAGACATTTTGTCTTCGCCGATTGCCATCTCTAAATACCTGGCAGGAGATGTTGAAGGATTGATTGAATGAATGAATCTGGCTGTCACTCTTCAAAATAAGTTACCATCCTCCTTTGAAATGCTAATTAGCTCTGGCTGTTTAAATGCAGTTGAAAACTCTTTAATATGTTTTATCTTTAATCCCTTATTAGCCCTTTTCACTGCCATTGGGGGTAGGGAACTATAAAGAACGTGTCAGTCTCTAACAACAATTACCAAAGAAAACTAACCCAAGGAGCAAATGAGATTTAGACGGAAGTGCAGAGTTGAACAGGTTGGGCCTTTCCCCTGTACCTTGTGGGAGGAAAGATCTGCTGACTCTCCTGAGGATCTGCTACGTGGAAGTCTGCAGCCACTGCAGTGGAAAGAACCTCAGGCAGGTTGGGGATATTGGGAGAACGTGACTTAGAGAAATAAGTAAATAGAGTACAGACTGATGTACCCAGTAGGTGGTGGAAAAGCTCACCTGCCTTCAAATCCTCACTCTGCCATTTTCCAGCGTGTGACGAGGATAAAGAAACAGTTGCGGGGGGGGGGGGCTTAAGTCCTCATCTGTAAAAATGGGGACAGTGATTTCTCTTGCAAGCTCTTTTGAGGATTGAGAGATGGGATATAAGTAATTCACTGTGATCCCATGATGTTAGGCAATCAGGCAGAGTTTGCAAGAGAGCTGAGTATCTGGTTAACTGTCTGTCTTTACCACAGTGGAGGGGCACTTACACACAAGCACACGTGCACCCACTCACACACACCCTATACCCAGTCTGCCTGGAAAAACAGAAGTGGCGCCAGCTACTGCCCTCTGGGGAAGTCTAACTCAGAAACCTCACCCCGCTAATAAAATTTCTCCACAGGGAACAGACAGGGTAACCTAGGGCCATGCCCCCCGCCCCCACTTCCCTCTTCCCTGAGTGGAGCTCAGAGCCCGTCTTGGGCAAGTGGAAGATAAACTAGCATGGGTGGCTGGAACTGAAATATTTCTCTTACCACCCTCCTATTCTGCCACCCTGTTTCCTTCTTTGCCAGGGTGGGGGCGAGGGCGAGGCTTGGGGAGGAAAAACAGCTCATGCCTTTACTCTACCCCCACACACTCGGAGCTGCTCTCTACTGCCTCCAGACCCTCCCTCATCATTCATCAAGATTCATGAACGCCCACGGGGTCCAGGGCACTGTCTAAGTGCTTTATCCAGGACCTCCCTGGGAGCCCATAGAAGTTTGTTCCAATATTTAAGATCTTCCCCCAGCTCATGAAGACCAATGTCTAACCCCCACTTTATTCTCACCCTCAACCTCTCCCCATCCCTGGCCAGAAAGAGTACCTTTTGCATTGTATGCTAAGAAGCTTTGATTTAAGTTTAATAGTAATGATACCTATAAACATTCTCTCCAGGACTTAAGGCGCCCTTCCATATCTATTGCCTTGTTCCTAAACTTTTATTTGCTTTTAGGAGAAGAACTTGGACTGGTTTCCTCGGATGCGAGCCATGTCCCTTGTTAGCAATGAAGGTGACAGTGAGCAAAATGAGATTCGGAACCTGCAGGAGAAGTTGGAATCGACCATGAGTCTGGTCAAACAGCTGTCCGGTCAGCTGGCGGAGCTCAAGGAACAGGTGAGTGCGCTCGGGAAGACGGAGGTGCCGGGGGAGGGTGGAATCCTTCACCACCTTGAGGGAGGGAAGACTGGAGACTCCTGGGAGCGAGATTGTTATCCACGGAAGGCTGTACATTCCAATAAAGAAACCCCACGTTGTGTTGTAAGAACCACATCTCAGCAAGCAGAGGCTTCTTTTACTTAACACACTGCCCCGTCTTGTGTGACACTTCTCCTTCTACGGAACGGGAAGGAGCAAGGAAGGAGCAAATGCCAAAAGACAGAGACCGCTTTGGGCTTTTTGATAGAAAATCTTATTGTCTGCCATCACAGCAACGGCTAAATTCTCCAGAAAAGCAGATCATCATTAGTACCTGTCATTTCGATGCTACAATCAACCCCCTCCTCATGTCAATTGTTAGCATTAGTAAAAATAACATCAGAAGTAACCATCGTGGTAGCTGTTAAGATGACCAAGGGGATGGCAATGATTAGGTGACAAGCAAGGGCTGCTTTAAAAGAACCATGGCTCCTGCTGCTTAACTGCAGAGAGGGGTTTGCTCTGCTTCTCTGTCTATGGAAATTCACTTTAAAAAATAATTTTCCCTTTGTTTGATAAATATATTCTATGTGATGCCGGACAGACTGTAGATATACTGGAGAAATATTCACCCAATGCTGTGTGTCCCACCCGCGCTGGGAAAGAGTGAGCTCAACACACTGTCTCTTTTCCCCCAGATGACAGAACAAAGGAAGAATAAGCAGAGACTGGGCTTTCTCGGATCAAACACACCCCATGTGAATCATCACATGCCACCACACTGATACCAGGGGGGCAGCCGTGACCAGCCTTTCATCAGCGTCCTGCCTGATCGCTGGATAAAGAACTGAGACGGAGGGGAGTGAACAGTGCCTATTGTTGCAAAGTTAAAAACAACCAAGTGCCAAGACGTTGAGTGGTTTCGCTTGGAGAACAATTTATAACTGTGTTTTCATGGTCGAGAAGACCAAACTTAAAATGCAGCCGCCAGAAAGCACACATCACGCATCCTTAATGCAAAGAGAAGTCCGCTTGCTCAGATGGACGGAGAGGGGAGGAGGGAGGCAAGGTGGAAGGAGGTGGAAGGCGGGGAGAGCTACCTTTTGCTAAATCAATGAGAGTCCGCTTTCTCTTACATGCTGGCTGCAGCCTTTGTCATGGTTGACTGGAATTTATTTCTTTTAATTACAGCGTGCAGGTCAGTGATACAGGAAGTCATATTTTGGTGGCCAAGTTTTACTAAGGGAAATAACTGAAAGGATTCAAACTGAGAGTTGCAAAGGAAAATGTTAATGCTTCCAAACCGTAGCTGTCACGGGGCAATTTCCTTATTTATAACGTGCAATGCAATGGATTTACAGCTCCAGGAACAAGTGCTTTGGAGTTTATGCCTCTCACGCCGACAACAGGTCTGGAATGTGACCACTTGCTCCCAGATTTCAGAGGGGCTCTGTCAGGATGGACCAGAAAAAGTTATTTTCTTATAACTTGTTAAAAACACATTTTAAGTCATGTAGAGGCTAAGATTTTTAAAGATTTGGGGGAAGCAAAAGCTGAAAGTAAGCCCCGGGGAAGAATTTTTTGAGAACATAGGAATACTATTAAAATACATTGAAATTAATAAATGAAAATGCTTAAAGGTGACAGGAAATATTGAGCAACTTATGTTGGTGACATTGCCCTTTATAAATATAGAGTAAAAGCTATTTGATTCATGTTTGCTGTGCTTAAAGAACTGAGTGGTTTTATTTATCCTGTTCGTGCAGTTGGGGGAAAAAAATCCAAGAAATGTGTTGAATACTCAAGAAAATGCAGCGTTTCAATTGCATATTTTAAACTGTTTCAGTAAGAGCTTTTCAGAATGTAAAAAGGTAATCACCTCTTGCCCAAATTGTCTTTAATGTTAAATTATGCAACCAGAATTTGTGGAGGGAGAAAAGAACCTGCCATGCGTATTATTCTTAGAGACTATGCTTTCAGAATGATAAAGCAAAATTCAGATAGTGAAAAAGTGTTAAGAGAACTGCCACGTGGCAAGAGACTGAGGCACGTGACACTGGGCTCTGGGAGGCACTCTGCAAGCTGTGCTTCTGGTGCCCACTTCCAGGAGAACAAAAAATTGCCTCCAGAGTCTTTAAACTCTCCTGTTATTACCACCAGGGTTTAAGGTTTGGATAGGGTTTGCTGTGACCATTTTTAAAGCTTTGGATTATTTTAATGTAGTTGAAGCTGCTGGTCCTAAAAGTCTCAAATCGTGGTCTAGGTAGATTAAAAAGGATTCCTAAACCAACCCTTTTCCCACACACCGTTAAAATGTAGGTTGGGAGGCAGGATATTGAAACCCAAAGCAATGAGTTTTTGAACTGAATGTGCTGGTACATCCCTACGTTAAGTACCTCCTTAAGTAAGGAATTCCTCACTCTGGTGTGATAGTATTTTTCCTGACCAGTCGCTAGAGGACCATGATCCAAAGATACTCAGAAGCTGCGGTATATCTCTGCATGCCACACAGAACTTTGAATCTAGTAAGCATCCAATAAATGTACGAGAAATTCCTCTGTCATTCAATCCTAATTCTTCATTAAAACTTTAAACTATATCACCTATTTGTTTTTTTTTAAGTGGCTTCACCAAAACAGAAGTGGAAAGCAACCATTAAAAAAAGAAACAAAAAAACAAGACCATGATTGTTGTTAATAGTATTAGATGAAAAGTACATGATAAAGTATTTTAATTAGGCAGAGAGTTTTGCATGCAGGGAAAAGAAGAGAAAAGTGGTAAATATTGGCTATAGTGCAGTGCAGGAAACTATCTCTGTTTAAGCACAAAGTACAATATTTCTGATGTCCAAACATGAAAAAAATTTAATTTGTCCAGATGAGAGCAACCTGTCTTTCAAATGAACTATCTGGTCTTTTCATACACTTTTTCATTGAGAATGAACCATTGAGTAAGTAAGTGCCATGAAGAAATGGCCCAACCTTGCCAACCATTGTGCAGTGACAGCTCACTACATCACAGTGTGTTTCCTCCTATGAAAAGTATTCAAAAGAGATTGCAACTAATCTAACTCTTATTTAATTGAAATTGAAATATTTCTCCATTGTGTTTCTTTTTCTGTCCCACCTAAATCCTTTGAGGTTAGAAAGCAAAATAAACAAAAGCAAACAAAAAAGGCATTTTCCAGGCTATTAAATTCATGATGGAGAAATTTGACATCTGCTATAAATTTATATTTGTTTTGGGTATGTTTCATAATGCAACTGGAATATTTGACCTCAGCAGGTAGCAATTAACATTCTCGTATTTATATAGTGATTTAAAAATAAATACAATCATCTTTGATTTTGATGTTAAGGGAAATGTTTTACTATTTAGTTATTAAAACCCCTATTGGTTTAAAAATATCCATTTCTGCCGAACGTAATTTTTAATTTCAAAAGGATTTTATTCCCCTGCATGTTCTGTTCCAAGTTAAGAGTTTCATGCAAATGTACCTATAAGATACCGTTTCTAGAGAAGAAAATGTTTTGTATCATATAAGACTATAATATTAATAAATAAATGTTATACTTGTAAAAAATCATATTTTTACCTCTTAAAAAAGTTAGTTTAGACATGGGCTTTTTTTTCTTCCATATTGGGGATAAGAATGCAGTTTCTAGTGGATTATTGATAAATCAGGAAGTATTTCCTTTATGTCAGAACTGGTTGTTTGCGCTTTTCCATCTTCTCAGCTCACAACTCATAGTTTTGGCTGTTTTTTTTTTTTTAGTTTATAGATGTTTCATAATAAACAGTAATGCAGTAGGGCCCCCACTCATCCCCCACGCCCCAGGGCTGAGAATGCGTGAAGAAGCCAGGGATCCGGGGACTTGGGGAGGGAAGGTGCAGGCTGGGACTTCACTATGATTAGCGAAAAGAAGGAGTAAAGGGTAGATGACAGGACGAAAAGGGCTGACCCTCCAGGGACCCAGTAGGCTGGGACATAAGTAAATATTGCACAGCGTAACGATGTAACAGATGACAGACGCATGAGATAACCCTTCACCATGCAAAGAACAGTGCTGTGTTCCCTCCAGGAGTTCTTAAACCTTTATGGATTAGCAAATCAACACGTTCTGACCCACAGACCTGTTCCAGTACACGGTGATCACAAGCAAGGCAAAAATGGGTGGAGCAGGTAGCTTAAACACAAGCGCAGGTGCCCACAGGAGCCAGGCACAGGGCTAAAATGCATGCACTTGTGAGGTGCACACCATAATGTGGTGGGGGGGCGGAGCCCATGGGGAGCTTGCTATTTGCAAATTTGACAACCGATTCCACTTTGTAGAAAATACCTGAGGCCAACTGATGCGCTCTAGTCACTCATTTGCTGTTTCTAAAATAGCTGGTGATAAAGCTACCCCGTTTAATAGACGAAAACACACAGTGCCAAAACCAAGCAGAGGAGCTAAAATGCATGTGCGACTAGAGAAATCTGAAAACAAGTCCAGGTATTATCTCTGAACTGGAGTATTTCCACAGACTTGAATAATTTAGAAAATAATTGTATCTTCTCATCTCACGAATAGCCTTTTTAACCCCCTGCAGTAGAGGATTACTATATTTGCTTTGAAAAACACAATTTTAACATATGTCAAGACCAGAAAGTATAATTTATAAATTATTATTAATAAAATTGAAGTTGTGTTAACTTTTTTGAATGTGATACTTTTAAGTGTTTTATTCATTTCCTAATATGTTTCTAAGTAATACACTCATTGGTATGAAAGTCATTATTACTGCTATTTTATGTAGGAAGACATGGGGGACAAAAATTTTGGCAGCCTGAACCACACTGATGAGCAAATCCAGATGGACTGTTGTACCCAGCACTTACTGGGAGTTGGCCAAATCCCCAACTGGCCAGCACCTACTAATGTGCTGATAACCAGCATGGGCTCAAGGGCACGGGCTGTTTGGTCATCCAGGATTTCCTGATTCTTAACACCGAGTGCTTCAAATGATAGTTCCTCTCAGAAGAGAATGCAGGATGTCACCACTGAAATCAAAATAACTTGCATGAATCACATGCAAACCACAAAGAGAAGTCTGTGCTCACGTGGACATTTTCCAGTGTGCCACAGTTCCTTGAAGCTGTGTGGCAAGAATTGTTTTGTTGTGTTTGGGATCCGAGGAAAGGTTTCAGGAGGGAAACTGGACGGTGCATTCCTCTTCCAGTGGGAGTAATTGGTACAAAGGGCAGGAGGATGCATGAGGAGGGGAGAGTGATGGGCATTCGAAAGTCACGTGCCTTTGACTGGTCCACCGTGGTGTTTTGAGGAAGTCTTCAGAAGGCTCGTCTTAAGAGCCCAACCACATGCCGGAAATTTGTGTATCTGAACCCCTCCTGTGTCCCTCCCCAACAACAGAGGTGCTGGCCATTGCGTGGAGCCTGCCACACGGCAAACACAGAGACCAAACGTGATGAAGGTAGAAAACGTGTAAGAACAGAGATTAGTTGTTGAGCTCAGTTTGACTGAATTTAACAGAGAATTCTGGTCTTTCACTTCATCGTGGATTTTCCCCTAGGTTAGCTTGTTCTCTTTTAACTCTGGTTCTTGGGGTGAAATCAGCCCCAGGTAGAACTGTGCTCCCCACAGCTGTGGAAATGTGGGTACAGGTGTGGATTTGCTTTGCAAGCCTCTGCAGCACATCCTTCCAAAGTTCTGCATAGGGAAGAGCTGCTTCTGACGCTGCTCTCTGTTCTAACAATTGTGCTTTTCATTTTGTTTTTTATACTTGTCTTCACTGTGGACAGTTGTATCTGCCTTTCTGTCTGCCAGAACCTGTTCCTTCTTTTTCAGCGTGGGTCAAAATTTTTTTTTTATGATCTTGGTCTTCTCAGCAGTATACTCAAATAAAAATTTTGTGAAAACATTATCTTAAAATTAGACCCTGCTTTATAAAAAAAAATTTGTATCACTTAGGATTTTATTGGAGAAGAAAAATCAGGTTGGGTAACACAGGCTGAGAAATGTATTTTAAGGGTTTGACATCATGCAGTTTTAGTGAAGAGCTGGTGAAGAACTCCACGGAAGGCTGCTGCTTCTGCATTGGTGGTGGGTCTGAAGTCCCTGCAAGTCAGTGGAGCTGGCGGTCAAGAAGAAAAGCTGGGTGTGAGGCACAGAAGAGCAAGGGTAAACTAGGACTCATGGGGACAAACTAAAATTTGCATCTAGCTCCTGAAAACCTCCGAACTCCATAGCCCAAGTGACCTAATAAAAAGAAGTTAGTGTGCTTCGCCATGGAGTTGCGTGGGCATCTGACCCAGGACTCAGAGAAGCTGAAGGAGAGGATCTGATGGGAGCTGGAAGACAGACGACTGTGTAGACCGGCTGCTACCACACCAGCACGGTGAGCAGGAGATCACACTGCAACAGCTCCTATCATTCTTTTTAAATTTTTTTTAAATTAAAAATATTTTTTCTCTGTACCCTCTTTACTATTTTTCTTTTTTATTTTTAAAGTTTTTTGTTATATTTTATTTTTAAATTTTTTATTGTTTCATTTTATTTTTAATTTTTAATTGAAAATATTTTTTTAAATGTTGTATTTATTTTGTTTGTGGGATTTTTTTTTAACAGCACCTATTGCCAACTCCCTCTGAACTTAATGACTATTGCTTCACTCTCACTTTCCAAATCTCAAGAAAACATCTCCTGTAGTAAAAATTAACCTATAATCCCATGAGAGGGGGATTCTGGGGAATGTAGTTCCAGCCAAGCTAAACTGACATAGTACAAAGCCACTCCACTGGAGTAGAACTTAGTGTTCACCAATAGTAAACTTTCTTCTCATATGGGACACACAGAGGACACACTTCCCAGCATCCACTGCAGTTGGGAGGAAACACATGACTGGTTTTTTCATTTTTTGTTTTTTTTAGATTTTTTATTGAGGTGACTTTGATTTACAACATTATATACATTTCACATGCAAAATATATAATATAATCTCTATTTCTATATACCTTACAGCCTGGCCACCACCAAAGATTTAGTTTCCATCCATCACCATACAGTTGATTCCCTCTTACCTGTTTCTCCCTTCCCCTGCCCTCTTCCACTTTAGTAACCACTACTCTGTTCTCTGTATCCATATGTTTGTTTTTGTTTGGTTTGGTTTGTTAATTTATTTTGTTTGTTTTATATATTCCATATATGAGTGAAATCATTCAATATTTGTCTTTCTCCATTCAATTTATTGCACTTAATATAATACTCAAGGTCCATCCATGTTGTCACAAATCGCAAGATTTCATCTTTTTTGTGGTTGATTAGTATTCCACTGTGTATATGTATATCTCATCTTCTTTATCCATTCATCCATTGATGGACACTTAGGTTGTTTCCATACCTTGGCTATTGTAAATAATGCCATGATGAACATAAGTGTCCATATATCTTTTCAAATTAGTGTTTTTATATTCTTTGGATAAATACCCAGAAGTTGGATGACTGGATCATATGGTATTTCTAGTCTTAATTACGTGAGGAAACTCCATACTGTTTTCTATAGTGGCTGTACCAATTTACAGTCCCAGCAACAGTGTACAAGGATTCCCTTTTCTCCACATCCTTTCCAACGTCTGTTATTCCTTGTCTTTTTGATGAGAGCCATTCTAACAGGTGTGAGGTGATATCTCAGTGTGGGTTTTGATTTGCATTTTCTTAATAACTAGTGATGTTGAACACCTTTTCAGTGCCCGTTGGCCATCTGTATTTCTTTGGAAAAAATTTTAATTAGGTTGTTTATTTTGTTGTTGTTGAGTTGTATGAGTTCATAATGTATACATTTTGGATCTTAACACTTTATCAGGTATACAGTTTGCAGATATCTTCTCCCATTCAGTAAGTTGTCTTTTCATTTTGGTGATGATTTCCTTTGCTGTGCAGAAGCTCTTTAGTTTGATACAGTTCCATTTGCTTGTTTTTGCTTTTGTTTTTCTTGCCTGAGGAGATCTATCTAGAAAAATATTGCTGAGACCAATGTCAAATTGCATACTGCTTATGTTTTCTTCTAGAAGTTTTATAGTTTCAGACTTTACATTTAAGTCTTTAATCCATTTTGAGTTGATTTTTGTGTATGGTGTAAGACACTGGTCCTAAGTTTAATTTTTGTGCATGTGGCTGATATGACTAGTTCTGAACAATTTTTTCATCTTATGAGTACAATTGACAAGCTGAGGCAGTAGAAAGTCCCTGTACAACTTCAAGTTCTTGTCTTACCATATCAGTCAAGGAGGCCAAGATGGAGCCAGCCTGAATCTCTGAGTTAACTCTTTGAAGGAAACCACCTGGAGATCCTTGATACACACAGCAGGACTGACACGAGTGAGAGAAACTTTCATGCGTTAAGCCCCTGAAATTTAAGGGATTTTTGGTTGTTGTTAAATAAATGAGATTGGGGTATGTGTGATTGTTACTGTAGCATAACCCAGCCTACCTGACTGATACAGATCTATGTATTAGGCACCAGAAAATTGACCTAAATATACAATTTCCAGGATGTATTCAAGAAAAATATAAAGAAAAATCAGTATGTGCAAAATCTAATTATTTATAATTGAAGAATGGAATATAGTCCAAAGGTCCAGTAATTTGGGTGTATTTTAGAATTTATGATTCAGTCATATGATGGAATATTATGAATCCATGAAAAATATGTAAACTGAGGCAACATTGGAAAACAGGCAGGATTAACTTTTTAAATGCCTACAAATTATATGTACGCCATTAACCAT